CCCCCCCAACTATCCCTTGAGCCCAGGCATTTCGAACCTCAGTAATTTGTACTTTCTACTTATTACACTCACCGGCATGTGCCTCTGTCTCTGCAGGACAGAGTCTGCTCGAGCCAACCAATCTGGTAGGACCAACTCTCCCGTTCTTCCCGCCTTGTCTCTGTTCCCAGCCCAGACTCATCCCATCCCTGCCCCTCCCCTCCGCCTGCCCCCCTCCTCCGGAGCATGCCAATGGTGTGTTAGCGTTTTATGATGGGCCCTTTACCCTACCATCCCAGCACAGGTCCTGAGGTTTGGAAAATGGGGCCTCAGCCTCTTTTCTCTTCTTTGTACCTTATCTGTTGCTAAGGTGGCCTAAGTTTCCAGTTGTATCAGAAAGTTTATTCACACCTATCTCCTCGGATCCTGCCAAGCACTAACCCCTTGCAGCTTTCATGACACTGCGACGCGCCTTCTGTCCCCGGGGCTCAGAAATGTCCCTTAAACCCCAGCCTCGCCAGTCCACACACCACCCCCTGTGCCTCCAAAGCCCTAGATCCCTTCAGGAAGACACACATGGGTCTTTGGAGACTGGTGGAGATGGAGAAGGAGGACAGGGAAGGCAAGGGTGGAGTTCTGAGCAGGTGGACGGTGTTAGAAGGATTTTAACATAGAAAACAGACCCATTCGCCCAAATGGAGTCAACCATGAAGGACTGGAGTTAGCTCAGGAGGGAAGATGGAGAAGATCTGACTCAGATAAAGAAGGGAAAGTAAAACAACACACCCCTGAAAAAGAAGAGAGTGAAAGAAGGCGGCCCGGAGAATGAGAAAACAGCAAGAAAACACAAAGCCCCCAAGACCAAGTCTACCCCCGAGGGTCTGAGACAAGCACAGCAGAGCAGCCAGAGAAACTCCCGGAGGGAGGGGGAGGCTCGGACTTCTGTCCGTCACCCCCGTCTCCTTCCTGGACTGATGGGTCATGCATGGGCACCCCCCCCGCCCGGAGCGTGGCCCCCAACCTGTCACGGTGAGCCTGGTGCCCATCCCAAAGTGGAGGGGTAAGTTATAGGAGCACAGCTGCAGGGAGCTGTGGTAAAACCTGGGGCGGGGGTCTCCTGCCAGAGGGCAGGTCCTAGCTCCCAGGGAACAGGCTCTGCCACCTTCTCCACCTGGGTGCGTGGCTCTGGACCAGAGGAGACCTGGAGAAAGGTCCAGGCATATGATGGGGAAAGAGGAGAAGGCTCAGGGTGGGAAGAGGCACACACATGAGAAGGAAGGATGAACCGAGGAAAGAGCGAGGAGGTCACATCAAGGACTGAAGACCCAGGGAGGACAAATAGAGGGTCCAGGTGAGCCACACCAAGAGCAATGGCAGCCACAGCTCCCCGGAGAAGGTCCCCAGGATAAGAGAGTTTACCTGACCCCTGACAACCAGCCGTGGGGAGAGACGGGGCCCCGGGTCCCAGGGACCACAGCTCTCCCACCCTGGTCCTGCTCCTTACCTGAGAGAGAGAGTTGAATCCTGTCTCCAAAGTACTGTGCCTGGTTGCTCCACAGCACAGCAAGAGTGTGACAAACCCAGAATTGCTGCTCTGGGGCCTTTCCTTCCAGAAGCTAGCATCCACCCAAACTTCTGGGGGCTCTAGCACCTACTCTGTTCCCCACACTCTCTGCGCCTTTTCCCGCTGTGCCCCCGTCCCCACCCTGTCTCCGGAGTCCTCCTGGGACTGTACTTTTCCAACACACTACCCCCCCAGGGAGGCCGCTTGCTTCCCCAAGACAGAGAGCTTGGCTCCACTTGTGAAAAATTGTCATTGTTACACAACACTGCAGGCTGCTAGGAAAACTGCCCACCTGCGTCCAATTCCTGCCCTTCCCAAGTGTACCCGCCTGCTCCCTTCTCCCTTTCCGTAGCAGAATTTTGGCACTGGGAGGCGGAGAGGGGGCACGCGCATGGCCTGAAATGTCAGGGGACCAATGTGGCCATGTGACCCCCACCCCTTTCTCCCGTGTCCCTCTCTTTTCTGGACGAGGGGGGAAAGCAGCAGAACGAAGCTAGCTCTAAGGCTAGAGGCTTCCCATCTACCGTGGCCATGATGGGGTGCGCTCCAAGGAGACGGGAGATGGACACGGTGACCCCAAGACGAGACTACTTGCCTCCCAGCACGGGAACCCAGACTTGGCATGGCCAGTCTGTGAAATTACCAGGGATGGAGGCCGTTCCCTCCCGATCGCCTCAAGGCAAGAATTCAGATCTTTCTGATAAAAATGTGCTTTAAGCTAAGCCCCCAGAACAGAGGCTCCATCTGGAGCCCTGCCCCTCCTTGTAGGTTCCCAGCCCTCCAGCCTCGACGAGCTTACCTACCACAGCGAGCCGGCTCCCTTCCCCAAAATAGAGGGTCTCGCCATAGCACAGCCTCCCAGATCTGCTTCAGAACCTCCCCTTGTCTGCTGAGCTCAGCTGGGATTCAGGGACAGATCGGGGTGTTCGTGGATCTCTTCGCTCACAGAGACACCAGCCCTACTTTGCATATCCCCGTGCATATCCCCGTGCATGGACAGTCAGAAAAAAGGAGACAGTGTGGCCTCCTGTGAAATCCAGAGCAAGGGAAGATATGAAACCCCTGCAGAGAGTTCCAGTCAGTGAGGAAGGTGGGCCCGTATCAGGGCTCATTGATTGCCTTCTGGGCTCTCTCTAGGTTTTCTCTGGCAGGTAACTATTCAGAGGGGGCAGTGCTATCTCCTCTCCCTCCTCTGCCGGAACCACCGAGGCTCAGCTCTGAGTTTACAGAGGACCACCGGTGGCTGCGTGGGTTTACCCTGACCGGGACCCTCCCAGGTACTGGTTCCCAGATGCGCGCATGACATCTCCTTGCCCAGGACCCAGGGGCTGGGTGATCCCTTCCCTCCCACACTTTCTGGGATAGAATCCTCCCGGTCATGCTCTGCCCGGAGTCCCCACCGCCTTACCGACAACTGTCAGCTTGGTCCCTGGGCCGAAGGTATAATCATAGCACATCAGAATATGGCCATTCTAAAATGGACCTGCCATTTTGGACCTGCTTCCCCTATGAGGGGCTTGGAAAGACCCAGAGTCTAGCTTACCTATAACCGTGAGCCTGGTGCCTGCTCCAAAGAAAAGTTCAGTGTTCACACAGTGACTCCAGGCTAGGAGGCAAACAAATTTGAGGCGTGGAAAGAAACGGGGGCTGTAGCTGGTGTCTGAGGATGCTGGGGTCAGAAATCCCTGCCTGTGTTTTACCGATATTGCATAAAACATTTTCAACTCTGACTCCTGGGGCCACAGAGCATGGCCAGAGTGTATCCAGAGGGTCCCACACTACTTTCTTGATTTTTTTCTGAGGGTCCATTAAAAGGACGTGGATCTGGAGAGAAAGGCAGGGTCCTAGAGCCAGTGACCATATCCACGGAGAGCGGGGATATCTCTGGCTTCTTCCTCTGTGGAATGGGTCACCTCCCATGCACCTTCCCACTGACCTTGTCCTTGGTTCTGTGGGGCTTGGAGTGAAGGAGTCTCCCGAGTCCTTCACCCGAGGGGCCACTGAGACATTCTTCTCGCATCTGGGCTCTCTGCCTGGAAGATTCAGTCCCGATCCAAGCCTGTCCTTATCCATGGTCTTGGCTTGACAGGTGAACAGGGGTGAGGCAGAGGCGTTCTGACCTGAACCACCCTCAGGCCGGTGACCCAGGACAAAAGTGGAGAGACTGTGGGTTGGGAAAGGCAGAAAGGTTTTTGTAAAGCTTTCCCGTAGAGTTGAATCACCGTGGCCCCCCCTGTCCCCACAATGTTACAGCTTTGTACAAAAAACGACCCCTCCCATGGTTCTGCCCATCAGAGCTTGGGAGAAACCACCAGAGCAGCTGCTCCTTCAAGGGCATTGGAGGGCAGGTCAGTGACATCACTCCCCCTGGTGCGAGGCGGTGGCAGGGGTGCAGACCGGGCCGGGGAAGGGCTCCTCCCCACCCCCATGCCCTTCCTTCAGGATGTTCTTGGCTTCTCAGAGCTGTGTGTCTTTGCAAGGCTGGCTGCTGCAGGGGCTGGTTTTCCCTGGTTTCCGCCCCTCTGCAAGATGTCGTCACTGTGGGGACCCACCCTCCCCACCCCCCAACCCAGCAAGAAGCAGCAGCCCCCTTTCAGCCTCAGGCCTGCCTGTGGCTCTGTCACTCAGAGGCCACACCTTTCATCCGGGAATGGGATCCCGCAATACTCAGACCCTTTGGCCCAACTCCGAACCTCTAGGGTGGTCTGGAGGGGAAGTGACCTTGAGCTACACTGCAGGGACGGGGTGGAGGACAGGGGCGTGTAGGGGTCCCTAGGTAGAGACAAAATAACAGCTGAGAGCTCCAGCATATTTTCAAGTGGGTTTGGACATGGGAGGGCTCCTGTGTGCATCAGCCCCCCTTCTTGTGGACTTCAGACGTCAGGTTAGGAAAAGGGAGTTGGGGACATGGAAATGAATAGTCAGATGCATAAAGTCGCAGCAACGCTCAAATGCAGTCATGGACATAGCCTTCTCCTTTTTATCCCCGAGGGGCAGACGCATTTAAGTTGCTGGTAGATGTTTTACTTTCCTGCACAAGAAGACCTTGAAATTCAACCTCCAGTTGAGTGGCCTGGATCTTATTTCACTCGATGGTGTTTCCTTTTATTGCCTTTCAAACTGTGAAGTTTCAAACTATTAAAATCTGGAAGAAAAAAAAAAAAAGACAAACTTCACTCCTTAACGATGACACACTTCTGTGGAAAAATAAACGCAGAATCCAAAGAGAAATGACAATATGGGGAGAACAGTTGCAATCTTCCTCATGAGGGCTGATCTCCCCAGTATATAATGAACTCCTAGAAATCAGTAAGAAAATAATCCAGCAGCACAATAAAAATGGCAAAGAACAGATGGTTCAGAGAAAAAGTAACGCAAATGGTGCTTCACCGTAGGAAAAAAATCTTGCAAAGAAAAAGCTGCATTGAAATATCTTTGTTCACCAATGTGACTGACAAAATTGAATTAGGGAAGACATTCTATTAGCTTGTGCGTAGTGGGATATGCATTTCTACACGTAAAAGGATACCCATCTAAGTGGGGACCAATTTGGAAATATCTATGAAAGCTACAAATGCATTTACTTTTTCACCTGGACATCTCACATCTGGGCATTTATCCTGTAGTTATTCTTGCAGACAAATAAAAAATGTTTGTAAAATATTTGCGTTATCTGGGGGTAGCAAAGAGATTGGGGAAAGTCCAGTGCCCATCAGGAAGGGACTGGATAAATGATCTGTGATACATCCACCAAATGGAATATTGCTCGATGCTAAAAAAAAAAAATACAAATGTTTCATGATACTACAGAAAGCTCTCTAAGATACATTGTTAGGTGGAAAAAAAGCAAGCTGCAGATTAGCATTGCTGTACATTGCCTTTTGTCCCGCAAAGGAGGGGAATAAGAACTGCTTGCTTGGTTCTGCATAAAGATACACCAGAATGATACAAAAGAAACTGATCAAAGTAACTGCCTACTAAGAATGGCTGGAGGAGACAGAAACAAGGTAGAAGTAAAAGTAACATTTTTCAGTCTCAACTTTATTGTATTGTTTCAGTTTTTGAGCCAGGTGGCTATATGATCTATTTTAAAATAAAACTTTAAAAATTGAAAGAAAATACAAAGAAAACATTGCTTTAAGTAATATTTTGAAATGTGCTACTTAAAAAAGAAACCTACTTGTGTAATTTACAAACTCATTATTTTTTCCAAAGAAGATCAGTTTACCTAAGAAGATATGTTATGGTCCTGACTTGACATACTGGGTCCCCAATCACTCAGGAAGCTTGTGAAAAATGCATATTTCTCAGTAGTCCTTAGGATACGTTGTGTTAAAAATCTTGGGGCGCCTGGGTGGCGCAGTCGGTTAAGCGTCCGACTTCAGCCAGGTCACGATCTCGTGGTCCGTGAGCTCGAGCCCCGCGTCAGGCTCTGGGCTGATGGCTCAGAGCCTGGAGCCTGTTTCCGATTCTGTGTCTCCCTCTCTCTCTGCCCCTCCCCCGTTCATGCTCTGTCTCTCTCTGTCCCAAAAATAAATAAACGTTGAAAAAAAAAATCTCTAGTATTGGAGTTATTATGTATTTAAATAAACAAAACAAGCACAAAATTACCCCAGGTATTTCCATTTCAGCACGGTGCTTGGGATGCCCTGCTTGTCCCCTGACCAGGAAAAGCACAGGCGCGAGCCATGAAGAATGTCAGAGTGCTATCTGGTGGTGTCACAAGCTGGGTACAATAGTGTGGCTCTGAGAATTTAGGGAAAAAAGGAAAAGACAGTCTGTGCTTCTTACTCACGAACAGTGCTGGATCTCACAACACTCTGCCAATAACCTGAATAAAAGGTCACGGATGGCCTCTATAGAGTGGAGAGTGGCAAGCTTCCTTCTTTATTCCTTTCCCACACCGAGGATCTCTTTCGTCGATGTAATGATTTATTTTCATCTATTTCTGTTTTCCTGCCTTATTGCATATCAGTAATATACCCTCTAGGTAAGTTTCCTTTCGGCCATTTAGCTGGGGACTCTCCCCCACACCGGCCTTACAAAGAATACCGCTCTGCCTACTTCCA